CACATACAGAAAAAACTAAAATTGATATGTCAAAATTTTAAGATCATTTGTCTCCAGATATTGGGATTTTAGGTGATTTTTATTTTTGTAGTGATTTTTAAGAATCTTAGCGGTTTTGCATTTTGAAGGTTTCTACAAAGGGCATTTTTACTTTTTTCCATATGTGTAAGATTGACCTTTGTTTAATCTTTTGCTTAATTGCCTGTGTTCTTATGGATATCACTCAGCTCTTGCTGTATTGGAGAGAAAGGCAGGGTAGAGATTTGACACAGCAAGAACTAAACCTAAGGAGGTGATGAGGGGTGTCTTTAAATGTCATACTTAAAGGCAACAAAATCGAGTCTAAAGTCATTGACCACCGTGACCTCAAATCCTCAGGGCTTCCCAGTGTCGTCTTTTGGATAACCCATGTCACCGCAGAGTCCTTATCAAACACTGATGGTCCAGGTTCCAAGTCCATCACCAGGGACCAGAGGGATGAAAGGTGGCAATCCGTCGCTCAGTATGATTGCTCATCCAAGATATAGAGGAAGAGGCGAATCTACCTGATTTTTTCTGAGCTCTAAGTTAGTAAGGAACCAAGGGAATGAGGCAAATACAGCCTCGTGCATTTCTTTTAAAGTGGAAAAAAAAAAAAAAGTAAAAATTAACTTCTCCAGCAGCCAGCCAAATAGCTCAGCAGATTAAAGAACCTGCAAGCAGGCACAGGGGTCTGGGGTTAGATTCCTGGCCCCACACCCTGGGCATACTGAAACAGCAATTGAGACAGGGTGTTAGTGGAACTTGCCTGTAATTCCAGCTCTTGAGAGGCTGTAAACAGGAGGGTCACTATGAGTCCGATCTAGTAGTGAGACCCCGAACACCTTGTAGACCCTTCCCTAAAATACAAAAAAAAGGTCTCCAAACAGATTAGTAGGAGAGTTACAATAATTAATATATGGCATTTGTTATCTTCATAATAGTTAATCAGAGTACAAGATACAGACATGATATCTTGCCCAAACAATATTAGCTCAAAACTTCTTTTCAATGAACTAAGAGAAAGTAGCTATATAACTATCTTAACTGTCTTGAATATAAATATATTTATTTTCTTTCTTCCTTCCCATTTTCCCCATCACAGTTTGTCTTTTCTTTTCAATTTCTTCCAATTCACAATATCTGTTGTACAGGGCCGGGGAGATAGCTCAGCAACATAAGCGCCTGCCTGGCAAGCACAAGGTCCTGAGTTCGATCCCTGGTACCATGAAACAAAACAGAACAATATCTGCTGTACATTTTTCATCTGATTTATTCACTCAATTTCTCTCACTAGTGGAAAAATCCATTGATGACACATATGGGTCTGATTTATAGGAAAGGAAGAAGTTAAATTATCATTATTATCATTATTTTCCCCTACATAGAAGACCCCAAAACCTCCACCAAAAGAGTTGTATATTCAATATGCAAATTCAGTAGTGTAGTGGGATCAAACAACACTCAAAAATCAGTAGCCTTGTTGTACAGAAACAACAAAGACAGAGAAATTAAGAAAACCACACCCTTCGTGATAGCTTCTTAAAAAATGAAATATTCAGGACTCCACTTCATGGATCTTGAATGTAGAAATGACTGTGAGCTTCAAGGCCTTTGGACTTAGCTGGCTAATATCTGAGGAACAAATTTCACTCCATCAGCATGTTCTTCAAAGAGGCCCAGAGAGAAAAGACATCTTAAATGCGTAATGTCAACGTGATTTGCACTTTATACCCAAGCAAAGGCCATTCTGAAGTGTCATTCTGGGAATGTGTAGCCCAGCTCCTGGACCCGTAATTTCAGAAGTGACTGTATGTGTCCTTGTGTCCCCAGGTGACTTACAAGTGCTCTCAGCTTTACACTTCCATTTCTTCCGGGCCCTTGCCACGCCCTCCAGGTCAGTTTCTCTCTCGCGCTGGACAGCGTCACTACTCTGCCACAGTTGCAACAGATTTCACGTTTTCGTTCGATGAAAAATGCACGCACGGGGGCCTGTCAGGGCTGCTTTGTAAATGTCAACACTCTTCACAGAGCGCTTTTGTTTCTTCGGATTGGAATGATTTTTCCACTTCTTGCATTAGGAGTTCTAATTTTTGCACATTATTTATGTAAATCAATAATTTTTTTAACCAGTGGAATTTTTGTTAGGGTGGAAATAACTTTATAATTTTTCTGATAGATTAATAATGCAATGCAAATCTTTGGAAAAATGCGAATAGTAATGAGAAGTCTCAGAAGAAAGAAAAAAATCCCCTGAAATTCCACCAAAATAAGAGAGTTGTCAGTAATATTTTGGTCACCATCCTTCTGTACTTTTAATGCCTAAACACTTTTATTTTCCAATTTTCCCCAGCTTCTTTTTCCCTTACCTTATTCACACCATTACCCTAAAGACATCAGTATTAACCAAATGGTGTACACTTAGATATTTATGATTATGCTGTTAAAGAAAAATACAGGACTTCTGTCCATGCATACGCATGAGGATGGCCGTGGCATTTGGGAAGGATGTGAGGATTTTGTCATTTACAAAAATGAAATCATATTTCTCTGCTCTCCAAATCTGACAACACAGAAAGCCCTTCCTTTTCGGGGTAGCACATGATCCGTCCTGTGCCAGGACCCCTGTGCACTCGGCCACGCCTGTGAAGTGAGCGATGTCTACTGCTTGCCTTCTCCACCTGGAGCAGTACTGCAGGAGACAGCCTTGTGCATAAGTTGTCTTGGACTCATGCTTTTATTTTTATGGAACGGATTCCTAGGAACGGACTTACTAGTCAAAAACATCAGCATTTTACATTGCAATAGACACAATGAGGTTGCTTTCCTGAAGGGCTGTAGAATTCACATTTGCAACAGCAGAATGTCTGGGACCTTTTTCACATAGCATCATTGGCAGCAGATTCTCTGCCCTTTCATTCTTACCAGTGTAATTTTGGGGCAACAGCACCTTCTGTTTACCTTGATGGGGGAGGGGGTTGGCTGTGCCGTTTAGCATCTTGCCCCATATTCAAATACACTTTCCTACAGTGTGACTTGCCATTTACTTATACTGGGCTCTTTCCTCAGTTTCAAAGAGCTCCATACACATATTATAGTTATCACTTTAAAATATATTAAGAATTCTTTCACAAGTTACTAATATTTTCCTCGGTTTGTCATGTCTTTCCATATAAAAGAAATTTAGTGTAATGCAAAATCTAGCCTTTTTGTATAATTTCTGGGAACCCCGTTTTGCTTTGCAAAGTCTCTGCGACTCTTAGATTATGCTCGTCTTCATGAATTTTATTCTAACATTTTTGAAAAGAGCCTATTAATCTATGTGGAGTTCTTCGTATAGAGGTCTTTATCTTCTGAATTGATCAATGACTATACACGCAAGATGTTTTAAACAAGCATTTCTCCCACTGAACTATAGTGCCTTTTCATAGGTCAATTTTATTACACAGTGTTTTCCAGTTCTCTCATTGCCTGCTAATGTAGCTACGTGTTGACACTCTTGACCACAAAGGCTTATTGTACTATTCTTATATAGCAAGTCCTCCCCTCCACAAGGAAACAAAACCTTGGTAGCTGATGAGCTGAAAGCAATTCGACGCCCTGGACTCCGGTTGCATCTTGGCTAGTATGCTGAACATCTCTGTCACTTACCTGTGAGGTAGGGTGGCAGCGTTGACCACAGACAGCTGTAGGGCCAAATGACATCAGGAAGAGCACTTAGAAAAATGTCTGACATAGCTGAAGCCCTGAAAATGAGACTGTCACTTTCCTTGCTAACGTCTTTTATATAAACTTTAAGGTCATTTCTTTGAGTCATCCCTTTAATCTCCCACCCCACGCACTTCTAGAAGTCTTTTCATGCACTAAGCAGACATTTGTTGGGGGATAATTTCATTTTTATGATACTAAGTTTTCCATCCTTGACTTTATGTTTGTAATTTAAACTTCAGATTTTGTTTGGCTTCAGTTTAGTTCACAGAAGACCTGTATCTTTCTTGTTAAATTTATTTTTGAATTTTAGCTTAAATTTCTTTTTAACTGATACTAAATTCATGGTGTTTAAAATTACCATATGTTTCATACTTGCACATATTTTGTAAAGTTTAAAGTGCTAAATCTTCTCCTCTGACATTTGCCATATTTCTATGATGTATTTTTCTTAATTTCTTTATTTTGAAAATAATATGTTCCTATTGCTAAGTTGTGTTGCTACTGCTGGAAAGACCCGACCTTGTGCACTCATTCTGTGATTTTCGTGAGTCTCTCTTTGCCTCGATACATGATGGCAGCCTCAAGAGAGATGCTCTTTATCGATCTGTACGTTTTCTATTCCATTTCCTTATCATCGCGATCTTATCAAAACACTCTTCACTAATGATGGTGACAGTGTATTTGTTACTTTCTAAAGGGTCAGGGTGACTAAGTGACCCCGTAGGAGGTAAGTGAAGGTCCATCAGTACGGAACCTGTCTCACTGGACAGGGAGCAGGTGTGCCAACGGTACGCTGGTCGGCCGGGGCGAGGACACCCTCTGAACTTCCACCAGCGAAATTCCCCTCTCTAGAGGTCTATGAGGCCCTACTGTCTTCTACCAACTAATCTCAAGACCCTGGCTACTGAGAACAAATAATTAATAGAAACTCCAGAAAGTTTTAAAACAGATGTCAGGCCAGCCAAATAGCTCAGTGGATTAAAGCACCTGCAAGCAGGCACAGGGGCCTAGGGTTCAATCCCTGGGCCTTCTGTGCTGGCCAGCCCCCAGGGTGCACCAAGACAGCCCCCAACGAGACTGGGAGTAGTGGCACAAGCCTGTAATCCCAGCTCTTGGGACGCTGTAAGCAGGAGAATCAGAGTCCGATCTAGTAGTAAGACCCTGAACAACTTGTAGACCCTTCCCTAAAAATACAGAAAAAAATAATAATAAAACAGATGTCTTTATCAACTCTAAGACCAAATAATATGCTTTTGCTTTTTTTTTTTTGAGTTAGGAAAGGGCGATAACAGCTCCATTCTCTCTCCTCCAACAATCATCTGTGAGGATTCCTTAAGGTGATGGCTAGTTGAAGATTTGTCTTGAAGGATATCCATCCCTCTTTTGCAAGATGCGGAGTCTAGATGCAAAATCAGATGCAGTATGGACATTAAAAATGTAACTGCTATGGGTTAAATTTTATAGAGAAGCAGAAGCAACGGCTAGGGCCTTACCTTCTTGGCAGCCTTGTGAGAACCAGCAGGGTTAGTCGCCAGCCAAGGCAGGTCACCTTTACCAGCAAGCAGGCAATAGCGCCCCCACGGGGTGTTAGAGACCTATTGCTTTCTGCAGCTCTCTGGAGGCTCCGTAAGTAAGTAGTGGTTGCCCTGAATAGACGTCACAGAAAATAATCTCTGAGGAAAATAAATGAAGCCTGTCGCTCACGGGACCCATTGAACAGAAAGGAAGCCGGCTTTTTCCTTTGAAATCAATAGCGATTTGCAAAGGCAGAGGTTTACAGTGAGAAACACTGGGACTCGCTGTGCTGCTTTGCCTTGGTGTCATAGTTCTGCGATTCTCACAGAGTATAGCCCCTGCGCTTCCTAGTGTTTCTGAAGCATTCTGCACATAGTAGGTGCTCGGGAAGCTACAGCTTTATTATTGATATGTTCTCACAAATGAAAAGTTTGCTTGCATCAACCTTGTTCTTTCCTGGTCATTTTGAAATAAGCAACTTTAACTCTGGTTAAAACGCGCAAATTGCTTCAGACCACTGAATTTGAATCTTGATTAGTCTGCCTCTCTTTTCACCCGATTGCCAAGTTGTCCAAGCCAGCGTTCGTCTTCCATAAAAACCCTGCATATATCAAGTGAGGAGAAAGATTTGACATGGAATATATATGCATACTTTATCACTTCTTATTTCATTTTAATCATAAAAGTAGCACATGCCTAATTATTTTAAAGAGATCTGCCCTCCAGTCCCTTCCTCAGAGATAACCCACCGTTGGTGAGAACTTCACCTGTTGCTGTTCAGGGCTTTTTCTGTGCAAATAAGAGTGCATCGTTAATGATTCTCTCTTCGTGAGGCTGCATGAGTGCCACTCAGGTGCCAGCGCTCTAGTATTACTTTTAATGGCTAGTGTGTGCGCATGAACTAATTTTTTATCCAAAGCAGCTTTTAGTGCATTTTTTGCGCATGTGAGAGTTACTCCACAAGAAGTGCCAGGAAAGTCCCCACTGTCTGATAGTAAAAACACCAAATACCCTGTCTCTTCTCTGGAGTTTCTTCTATATATATAAACCAGTTTCCTGGAACACAACTCAATCCTACTGCATTGGCTTTATAATCAATTGTGGTCGTTTCTGTAATACTTTTTTCTCCCATTTTGTTGATTTATATTTATGAGCTTTAAACCCTCCTGAAACTGTACAGAAAACTTCTTGAGCTTAAAGCGCTTCACAAGTTGCAAAGTTCCTTGTGTTCTCTCCCCATTCATTGAAGTCACTTCGGTGAATGCCAGGTGTTGTGATCCTGATGACAAATAGGACAATGAAGGGACCAAAGTGACTCACCCAAATCACACAATAATAACTGAGCTCATGACTAGGTCTTCTGACAGAGAGCTCTCTGGCTGCGTTACAGAGCAATTGTCTAGCATGGATTAGGTCTTCACAGAGGTAATACATTGTGTACACGGTGTCCCAGGATTTAGTACATCTGGGAAGTACTTACTTTCTTTGTAAATAAGCTGACAAGCTCCATATACTGCAGCTAGCTTTTAGCCAGGGTCAGGTGGGTGTAGTATCATCGGCATACCTACTAACAGGGCATTAGTACTGTATGTCCATCAGTAATCTACTTTTGCTTCCCTTTGGCCAACGATTCCCTTGGTGTGATGTGAGAATTTGAATTCATTTTGAATGCATTCATTTCTAGCGAGGAAGTTAATATAAGGGTGGGAACTGTGACTTCATAAAGGCAATTTTTAAGAAGTATTATTTCAAAGGAATCTTCCATTTACTGACAAAATGAGTGACAAGTACAGAGCGTCCCTGTGTACAGCACTCCCTCACCTCTCCTCGGCTCTCCTGTGTCTTGCTTTGCACTGAACATTTGCTGTGATTGATGAGTCAATGTTATGTCATGAAGGCCTTAGTTTCCTATAGGGTTCCTTCTGTGTGTGATACAATTTTGTGGCCTTCAATATCCATCACATCATGACTCCACCATGATAACATCATGCAGGGTGGTTCACAGCCCCCAAGTCCCTGGGCACCGTCTAGTCATTCCTAACCCTAGAAACTATTAGTGTTTATGTCAGTTTGCACAGTTCCCGGACCTCATGTAGTTCAAATACATTATGCACCCCTTTCTATGTGGGCTTCTTTCTGTCAGTAGTATGCATTTAAGTTTCCGCTGTGTCTTCATGGCTTGATGGTTCCTTTATTTTTCATGATGTGTAACATTACACGGTGTGGATGCACAACAGTTTATCCATTCCTTACTGAAGGGCACGTGGTGTTGGCTTCTTCCACA